CATCACATTTTTAATTGCCTTATCAATGACCCACCACATTGTTACTGGCCTTATCAATGGCCCATTGCATTTTTAATTATCGTATCAATGACCCACCACATTGTTATTGGCCTTATCAATTACCCTTCATATTTTTAATTGCCTTATCAATGACCCACCACATTTTTAATTCCCTTATCAATGTCCCACCACATTTTTAATTTTCTTATCAATGACCTATCAGACTGTTAATTGCCTTATCAATGACCCACCACATTTTTAATTGCCTTATCAATGATCACTCCCATTAATTGCTTTATCAGTTATTCCCTCAGGTTGGTATCAAATTGCTTTATTAATTACCCACTCACATCGTTATCCAATTGCTTCATCAATTATCCACTCCCGTTATTATCAAGTTGCTTTATCAGTTATCAACCCACATTATTATTGAGTTGTTTTATCATTTGCTAAACCACGTTATTATCATTTTATTACCATTTTATCAGTTATCAAATCACGTTGGTGGTGGTTTTATGAGTTATAAAATCTTGTTAGTAACATATTGGTTTATCAGTTATCAAACCAGACCATTATCGTTGGCAAATGGCTTTATCAGTTATCGAGTCATGTTGTCATCAAATATCAATTATCAAATCACATTATTGTAAAATAATTTCCATAAGTTTTCAAGTTACATCATCAAATAGTTTTATTAATAAGTATCAATTATTTTAATCACATTATTATCAAATATTTCTATCTTAAGTCAGCTATCAGATAGTTTTATTAATTATCAAATAATTTTATCAGTTATCAAACCAGGCCATTCTCAGATCACATGAGCAATTTGTTCTATCAATTATCAGATCACATTAACCCCTTGTTTTATCAGTTATCAAACAGCCTGGTTCCATCAGCTCGTTATATTAATTATCTCATCACGTTGTTATCAAACTTTTTACCAATTCACGATTTCCACAGCCCGACTCCTCCTCTGGGAACTGGAAGCTGCTCCGTGCTGGGTCCCTTTCCTGGAGTTCCTTTCCTGGGGTCCTTTTCCCATGGTCCCTTTCCTGGGATTCCTCTCCCAGGATCCCTCTCTGGGGTTCCTCTCCCAGGTTTCCTCTCCCAGGATCCCTCTCTGAGGTCCCTCTCTCGGGATTCCTCACCCAGGATCCCTGTCCAGGGTCCCTCTCCTGGGATTCCTCATCCAGGACCCCTCTCTGAGGTCTCTCTCCCAGGATTCTTCTCCGGGGTCCCTCTCCTGAGATTCCTCACCCAGGATCCCTCTCTGGGATCCTTCCCCTGAAGTCCCTCTCCCAGGATTCCTCACTCAGGATCCCTCTCTGGGGTCCCTCTCCCAGGATCCCTCTCTGGGATCTGTCCCCTGGAGTCCCTCTCCAGGGTGCCTCTCCCAGGATCCTTCTCCGGGGTCCCTCTCTGGGGTCCCTCTCCCAGGATCCCTCTCTGGGATCCCTCTCCCGGAGTCCCTCTCTGAGGTCCCTCTCCCAGGATCCTTCTCCGGGGTCCCTCTCCAGGGTCCCTCTCCCGGATCCCTCTCCCAGGATCCCTCTCCAGGTCCCTCTCCCGGGGTCCCTCCCCTGGAGTCCCTCTCCAAGGTCCCTCTCCCAGGATACCTCTCTGAGGTCCCTTTCCCAGGATCCCTCTCCAGGATCCCTCTCCTGAGGTCCCTCTCCCAGGATCCTTCTCTGGGATCCCTCTTCCAGGATCCCTCTCCGGGATCTCTCTCCCGGAGTCCCTCTCTGGGATCCCTCTCCCAGGATCCTTCTCCAAGTCCCTCTCCCAGAGTCCCTCCCAGGACTCCTTTCTGGGGTCCCTCTCCAGGGGTCCCTCTCCAGGGGTCCCTCTCCCAGAATTCCTTTCAGGGGTCCCTCTCCCGGGGTCCCTCCCCCAGAGTCCCTCTCCCAGGATTCCTTTCTGGAGTCCCTCTCCCAGAATTCCTTTCAGGGGTCCCTCTCCCGGGGGTTCCCTCCCCGGGGGCTCCCCCCGCCCGCCCCTCACATCCCTCCTTTCCTTGCAGCCTCTGGAGCTGCTGTGTGAGAAATCCATCGGCACGGCCAACCGGCCCATGGGCGCGGGCGAGGCGCTGCGCCGGGTGCTGGAGTGCCTGGCCTCGGGCATCGTCATGCCAGGTGAGCCGCCCATTCCCGCCGGGAAGCGGCGCCGGGAGGAGCGCGGGGGGTCCCTCGTCGTGTTCCGCGCGCGCGTCCGGCTCCGGGAATTATACCGGGAACCGTCCCCGGCTCAGAGCCACCTCAGCCCCCCGTAGAGAGAGGGAGGGACCGCTCGGCTCCCGGAGAGGTCGGGAGCAGATTTTCCCACAGAGTGTCCGTGGAAAACGAGCCCGGGGAGTCCCAGAGCTCCTGGATCGTGGCCGGATCGTGGCCGTGTCCCCGCGCTCTTGGAGCGTTGGTGCCGCCCCCAGGGAACTTTAGTTTAGTCTCTTTAGAGAGCCCCGGGATAATTCTCTGCATATCTTCCTTGTTTCCTGCCTTCAGATGGTTCTGGTATTTATGACCCTTGTGAAAAAGAAGCCACTGATGCTATTGGGCATCTAGACAGACAACAAAGGGAAGATATCACACAGAGTGCTCAGGTATAGTGTGACCTCCAGACCCTGCGGAATCCCCCGGCTCGCCCGCCGCTCCCGGCCCCGTTGGCCAACGTAGACTTAGTGCCCCGTGGCCACTGGTGGCCGAGCCCGGGCCGCCCGCACGGGCCCCACGGGGCTTGGCCCAACCAGAGCAAAGAATCAGGTGTTGAGGAGTGACTTGTTCCCGCCCCCATTTTTGGGTTAAACCCCCGGAAAACGGTCAATCCAGAGAGTCCCGCCAAGGGCTGAGGGTTTGGTGTGCAGGGGGGGGTTGGGGGTTGAGGGCAGCGGGTCCCCAGTGACCCCCCCCTGGCTGACACCCCCTCCTCTCCCCAGCACGCCCTGCGGCTCGCCGCCTTCGGCCAGCTCCACAAGGTCCTGGGCATGGACCCCCTGCCCTCCAAAATGCCCAAGAAACCAAAGAACGAGAACCCAGTCGATTATACTGGTACGTACTGGGCGGGGAAGGAACAGCCCCCGACCTCCCTCCCTCCCCGGCTCTGGGGTGGGAGAGCAGAGAGTTTGAGGGGCTGCTTGTGCTGGTCCCCCCACAGTCCAGATCCCGCCCAGCACCACCTACGCCGTGACCCCCATGAAGAGGCCGATGGAGGAGGACGGGGAGGAGAAATCCCCCAGCAAGAAGAAGAAGAAGATTCAGAAAAAAGGTATTGAGTTAACCAGAGGTAGGTACAGAGGGGTGGGAATGGGGGCACGGAGGGGTGGGAATGGGGGCACAGACAGGTGGGAATGGGGGCACAGATGGGTTGGGATCGGGGCACAGAACGGGTGGGAATGGGGGCATGGATGGGTGGGAATGGGGGCACAGATAGGTGGGAATGGGGGCACAGATAGAGGGGAATGAGGGGACAGATAGAGGGGAATGGGGGCACAGATAGAGGGGAATGGGGGCACAGATAGATGGGAATGGGGGCACAGATAGAGGGGAATGGGGGCACAGGGGGGGGGAATGGGGGCACAGACAAGTGGACTCAGGAGTTGTCTGGAATTGGAAAATACCACCGGGAACTGATCTGGGATCAGAAAATACTGATCAGGGCTGGTCTGAAGTGGGAAAATATGGGTCAGGACTGGCCTGGGATTGGAAAAGACCAATGGAAACTGGTCTGGAATGGGGAAAGAGTGATTGGAACTGGTCTGAGATAAGAAGATACTAATGGGAACTGGTCTGAATTGGAAAAGACCAATAGGAATTGGTCTGGAATGGGGAAAGACCGGTTGGAACTGGTCTAGGATGGGAAAGACCTGTGGGAAGTGGTCTGGAATGGGAAGAGACCCATGGGAAGTGGTCTGGAATGGGAAGAGACTAATGGGAACTGGTCTGGAATGGGAAAAGACCCATTGGAACTGGTCTAAGATGGGAAAAGACCTGTGGGAACTGGTCTGGAATG